CTGCAGGTGTCAGGGGTATACATCAGTGCACATCGCTCTCGTAAACCTGCGCAATATACTGACAGTGAAAAGAAGAAACAAATAAATAAAGTAATTATTCTAGGATTTCATCCAACTTTTTAATAGTTAATTACTAAAAATTAGAGTAATTAATAACAGAAATTAAATTGTCAACATTTTCCTGTTGATTTGCTGACAGTAGTTTTACCCTCATGCTCTCCTGCTGCTGTAGATCATCTGCTGCAAGTTTTTTTATTTTCCATGATGACAGTACATACTATTTTACGGGATATTTTTCAAGATACTAGTATTTAGCTTTAAGTCCAGTTTAAAGGCTTAACTAGATTAGGCAGGTTAGGGTAATTAGGCAAGTCAGTGTATAACAGTGGTTTGTTTTGTAAACTATCAAAAAAAAATTGCCTAAGGGGGCTTATAATGTTGACCTTAAAAGGTTTATCAAAACAACAACTGCTTTTTTTCTAGCCGAAATAAAACAAATAAAACTTTCTCCAAAAAAATATATATATTATAGGAAATACTCTAAAAAAATCCTTGATCTGTTAAAATCATTTACAAAACATTTGGGGAAAAAATCACAGGGGGGTAATAATTTTGACTTCCACTGTTTACACTTACTGGTCGGTATAAATATTTTTTACAGTCATTGGTATAAATGATATATCAGCTTCAATCATTCTGGTCGTTCACTTCTGACCTCTGGCATCAACAAGGCCATTTTACCCACAGAATTGCAGCTGTAATCCCAGTAGGAACCTAAACTTGCATTTAAAAGTCCATTTTCATTTGAACTTCAAAGAACTGGACACTTATAAGCTGTTTCCGACTTTTCAACACTTTTTCATCTTGTGTAAGTCTCAACTGGGAATAATATGAAATTAGGTATGCCTTTTATGAAGTGGGCATGTAGTAATTGCAAATTATGAATGGGCTTAATTGGTTATGCAGGAAGAGCAGAGGAAATGTCTCCTTGCCTACTTCTCTACCAAAGACACCGGTGTTTGAATTCCATTAAGAGTTTAATTATTTTAAACTTTAAATTTGGCATTTTATGTTGTTCTTGATGTTGCTGTTATGTAATAAATTAAATTCTGAAAGCTTTGAGTATATCTGGCCATCAATATCAGTGCATCAGCTGCTTCCCTGTGACAATAGCATTACCAGCGACATCTGTCTTTAGCTTGAGCTTAGTAAATAACAGAGAGCCGCTGAGTTTCATTTTGAGATGGAAGGGCCACCAATTACTATAAAAGAGTGCAGGAAAATATCAATAATCTCATATTTTCTCTCAGTCAATGCATTAGCTTACCAAAAATGAGCAAAATTTGTGTTATTGTTATTGTGTTATTATTTGTTTTTTCCATAATTCCTGCATTGTGGCATTATGATATTAAAACATATGCGATTATTTTTGTTAAATATTGTTTTTATTCAATTTAAATAGTAAACATTAACAATACAGGCTTTAATCCTTTTTTTTATAATTTTATTTTTATTTTGATTGAAAGTAGACATGGATAAAATGCAATAAAATTCACCCACTGACAAAAAAATTCTACATATTATATATATATATATATATATATATATATATATATATATATATATATATATATATATATATATATATATATATATATATATATATACATACAATTCACACAGGCTCACTAAAATTAGACAATAGAAGATTGGAAAAACGTTGCCTGGTCTGATGAGTCTTAATTTCTGCTGCAATATTCAGATGGTAGGGTCAGAATTTGGTGTCGACAACATGAAAGCATGGATCCTGCCTTGTATCAATGGTTCAGGCTGGTGGTGGTGGTGTAATGGTGTGGGGTAAATTTTCTTGGCACACTGGGTCCATTAGTAACAGTTGAGCACAATGCCACAGCCTACCTGAGTATTGTTGCTGACCTTGTCCATCCCTTTATGACCACAGTGTACCCATTTTCTGATGGCTACTTCCAGCAGGATAATGCTGCATGTCATAAATCATAAATTAAACTGGTTTCTTGAACTTGACAATCAGTTCACTGTTTTCAAATGGCCTCCACAGTCACCAGATATCAGTCCAATAGAGCACATTTGGGATGTGGTGGAATGCGAGTTTCATATCATGGATGTGCAGCCGACCAATCTGCTGCTATTGTGTGAAGCTATCATGTCAATATGGACCAAAATCTCTGAGGAATATTTCCAGTACCTTGTTGAATCTCTGCAACGAAGGATTAAGACAGTTCTAAAGGTAAAATTAGGTCCAACCCGGTAGTAGAAGGGTGTACCTAATAAAATGGCCAGTGAGTGTATATTTATTATAAATTAAGAGTAAGTGATGTCAGCTGAGCTGAACAAATAGTAAAATACTGTTGGTTGACTATCATTATTAATAATGCTTCTGGCCCCGTGGCTGAAATAACAATTCATTTACTTCAGACCGTCTTTTATTCCCACAGTGTGCTGGGTTATTTCCCAGAAGACAGGCGTTCAAAGACGACACTTAAAGGCGTCGCGCACCACAGCAGGATTTAGACAATCCCCTTTTTATTTCCTTCGAGAGGGCTGTGTAAATTTCAGTTACACATACTCATGCGACCCTGAAATTAGCCAGCTGACAAGAGCACCAACATTAGACAGGTAAAATAAAAGCTTCGCATTGATTAAAGAACCTGCTGCAGAAATCATTGTTCTGAGTCAGCAGGAGGCTGCTCCAAACATATGACTCTGACATAAGAAAAGGAAACTTGTATTTGGGAAATGAAGCAGAAAAATTTGTGCAAGAGCTTAAAAACACAGCAAAATGAATTAGTAGGCATGCATTAATTTGAGGAACATGATTAAGGATTATGAAATGACCCGGATGAAAGAATAAGCGGGGTTATGCAATGATAATCCTCTGATGAATGACATCTCTACTAGTTAGCGGTGCCTACCAGCTATTGAACTTTGGGGTTGAGTCTGTCCACAGTGCAAACTCTGAAAACAGAAATGCATGATACATTTTTATATAATAATAATAATAATAATAATGACATGGTTTGAGTTAACTTAATGATCATTTGACCGATGTGATTTCGACCAACAACATTCATAAAAACCTAGTATAAAAGTCTTACCTTAAACAGGGTTTCTCAGGTTTCATCAAGCCAATTGTAAGACTTTTTAAGACCCTTTTAAGACCATAAATGAAATTTTAGATATACATGGCTAATATTTGTAAATGGCTTGATTTATTTTTCGTTGTCACAACAATACAAATATCAAATATAGTTATTTGTTAGCCACATATTTTAATGTCAAAAAAGCAAGGAAAGGAAAAGTTTATTTTTTAATTAAATGACAAATCTACCATTGTTACAAGTTTATTATGAGGCAATTAAATACTCAAAAAAAAAAATATTATATATATATATTTGTTGGCTTTTGGTCCAAATGAATATTCAACCTTATGAGTTTTTATAAGAAAACCCTAACTTTCATGCCTATTTAATATTTGCACATTTAAAACTGCACATATTCATCGCACTATGTTGCACTGATTCATTTTGAATTGTACATATGCATTGCACATATACATTTGCAATTATGTTCATATATATCTGCATACTTCTGAGTATTAATAGCAACCTATGTTAATCTATTGTAAATCTCTATTCATAACTAATACAACCTGTATATAATATTTATAGCACATCCATCTGTAAATATTACCCATAGTTTTTCTATAATTGCACTTTATAACGTGGATGGATGTCAGCCCAGTTGGGTAGCTTTACTTGGGCATAGAAAAATTAAGGGTGTGCACACAATAGGCTAACCAAACTGTGCTGTGCAATGCGTTTCGGTGAAGCTTTGGTATGGTATGCTTGTATTTTTAGTGAAAAGCATGCCTGAGTGCGAAACTAAAGACCCAACATTACTTTTAAGGGATTTCTTATGGATTTATTAATCATTCATACTTTTCAATGAATGCAAACCATCATAGTTTATTAAAGATATTTGCGACCATCAGCAAACCTCCCAATTGGGGCTCCACGTTGACTTTTATGAACATTTATGAGCATCAAAAGTGTTGGATGTTTTCAGCGAATGATTTGACTGTCACTGCTGTAGACTCACACTGAATCTGCGTGTGCATAAAATAGTAATATTATTATATTATTAATAAGAATAGTAATATAATTGACCAATATGAATGTTCTTTTGATTTATTTACAATACAGTTTGTGCAGTATTTTTTTATTGTATTTTAGTAGATATAACAGACTTACTGGCTTTGTTAACCAAATACGTGGCTCTAATTAAATTTGCACTGTAAACATAAAATAAAAGATAAAAAGTTATTTTCTATATTAAGTTTTTAGTTTTGATACTCTTAAAATAATTCCACATAAATGTGCAGATTTTTTTAACAAAATTATGTGCAGAAATAGCAAAAAATGTCAGATTCTGTCTGCCCCTAGTTATTGCATACCAAATGACTTAAAATAATACAAAACAATATAACTAAAACATTCTACATTGTACAGGGTGCTTTTCTTCAGTTGAACCGAACAGTCACATCATCGATGACACAAGTGTGCCCGGAAGGCAAAGAATTTAAAGTGAGTGCTGGCTGAGGGGGAGTGGGAACAATCGCACCCCAACATGAAAACACCCTAAAGACCCGTTTAAAATTATTTATGACCTGCAACACAATATTTCAGTAAAGACTTAAGGCCTAATATTTAGTTTTTGAAATTTAAGACACTAAGCAGACACCCGGAAACAATTTTGAACTATGTTCTATAGTAAAAAGTTTTAATAATAATTTAATAAAAATATTTAATTTAATAATAATAATAGTTTTTTATTATGTTTTTCAGCAGTGGCCTGAAAGTAATTAACAGCAAATGTTCATATCTGAGAGCCTTTTAGTTCAAAGCAATCATAAACATGGAAACATTTCAGTCTTTAGTTTGATCAATTAAAGGGCCTCCAAACATTAAAACAATAACATTTATTGCTTCATCTGAATACTGTATTGAAACCACACGCATTCAGTAAATACACAAAAAAAAATCATACAATTATATATGGATGCACAAAAGGCAGTGAACACAACGCTCTACAAAACACTAGTTTACAGAAATTTAAAAATTCTAAATATCAAAAAACGCACGGCTGCAAAACATGCAGCCAGCTGTTCTCGGTGGGACAACTCGGGGTAGGACTGTCAGGAATGACACTGAGCTAGTCGGAGCGGTCAATAACCACCCGCCGGAACAACGAAAACAACTTCTCATAAAATAGGAGATTGAAATGCTGTTATAAATTAATGCGAATCATCAAATCAGTCTGAACAAGAGGTAAATGTACCTGACATAAACCACTCACTTTCAATGCAGCGGAAAGACCGCATGATTACACTAAAGCGAAGAAAGTTTACATCCCGTCAGTTACACACAAACGAGCAGAAGGAAAGAAGTGTTACGCTAGGCTCGAATCATTTCACAGAACAAAAGATTGCTATGGCTTGTATTTGCTTGGAACGTAACTTGAACAGTGGCCAGTTTATGCGTCTTCAGGCGGTAAACTCCACTGGCCTGATGCTTGACACTGTGTGCCTAAAATATTAATACACAAAGGAGACACGTCCTCGTTTTAGAACAAGACTGGATAGATTAGACCTTTTGAACCAAGACTAAAATATTAAAAGAAAAAGTCCAGGTTAAATAAAACTAAAGGTTTGCAGGGGGAAGAGACTTCTTACAAACTTGTATTTAACCATGGATATTTATGCAATTAGCTGATGACAGTAAGACACCTAAAAAACTTGAGTCCCTATGATGAAACAGATTGGCAAAAACCCCATGACGTCAAATTAAGGAAAGAAATTTAGACAGCTTAAAACCTTCACTTCAGCAATAAAATCATATGTACATCTGCATAAAGTGTCCGTTTGGGAAGTTTGGAGAAGTTAGGTGGACTCTCGACCAGAAAGGCGCATGGCGGTAGGTTGGGTGTTGCTTGGGATGACCTTTGTGGAAGGCCACTTGAGTGTGTGTGTCGTCTTAATCTCCACAAAAGCACATTGTTGTTTGGGGTAGGAGTGTGCAGGCTCTTAGTCTTGCTCCATGGGCTCCTCTGCGCTCTCCAAGTCCAGTGCCCCTGACCCAGTGTCGCCCTCTGTTGGAGAGTCTATGCTACTGCTGCTGGATGTGGGTCCAGAGGCATTGTCGTCAGTGCTACTGCTGCTGACCTCACTTGGCTCCTCTCCTTCTCTCAGCTCAGGGCTCGAGGCCACGCCTGCTGGTGCTCTCTGCTCTGATTGGTCCATATCGCTGGGCTCTTCTGAAGAGTCATCTGAACCACAGGGAACCTCTCTCTCTGTAAACGTCTCTCTGGAATCTGCCACAGGACACTCGGGTTGTGTGCTGGAAGGCTCTGTGTTAAAAAAGAAAAAGAAATGCATTATAGAAAGAATAATGAGCTATTTATAACAAGAAATAATTTGAACTATGCCACCTTGGTCTTCAGAGTTTTCAGCCGAGCCTTCATGTTTACTTTCCTCCTCTTCTTCTTCACTCCCTTCCTGCAACATGGATGACGGTGATTCAGGGTCCTCTGACTTATCTGAGGGGCTTTTGCTCAGTGTGGATCTGGGGGTCTCCACAACCTGCTCGTCCACATCATCTTCGTCCTCCTCATCTTCGTTGCCATCCTGGCTGAATTTGAGTCTTTTAACTTCGTGTTCCTCCTCCTCCATTCCCTCATCTTCCTCGTCATCCAAGTGTTTGTTTTTTACAGAGCTGCCAAGTGGTCCACCAATGCCTGACGCAGATGCATCACTGCAACAAAAAGAATGAAAAAAATGGCCATTTCTATATATTTATTTTTGCTGAAGGTCAGCAGAGTTAATTATTTACCACGTTAAAAGATAAAACATGTTTATTGATTAAACTATCAGCACATTACACACACAAGATGATTATTTGAAATGATTCATTTGTCTCTTTAATACTTTATCTCACTGGATTTAACTTGTTAACAAAGGTTCAACAGTGGATCCACACCTCACTTCTTCTTAACCTCTAGACCTCTAGTTTAGAGGTTTTCAACGTTTTAGGACACACGTCCCCCCACATTTAGACAATTTCACTTGCACACCCCCTCCAAAATTATAATTCACGTGCAAACACCATTCACATATTACTTGCTGCATTTAAAGTGTGTAGCATTAATCACGTTGAAACATAAATGTATAGCTCAACTGATTCAGTGTGATGGCTGAGCCTGTTTCTCTGAGGACAACATGGTTGGATTCCTGACACGACTAACCATCAATCATCTTCCACTGTCAATAAGTGTGAGCCATACCATACTTGCTTTTGATGTACGTACATACGGAAAATGCTGCTTCCCAAAACCAAGTTCGCAGAGCCCCGACGGTGTGGTTGAGTTGAACATTGTTTACATGGACACCAATACTTTAATAGATTTTAATACACTTAAGAAAATACTCCGATTAAGAGTCTACCATGTAAACAATGATTTAGGATCACCTTAATCTGACTAAACTCGTAACTGAACCAAATAGAAATAGAATCAAGACATGGAGTATGCATATAATAGTGGAAATACAGAAGTAAACACTGCAATCAAACTATTACCGTCATGTAGGACTTTGCCATATTTTTAACAAGATACACACGTGGCGGTCCGTAAATGACTGCACACAAACACACACATCGCAAAATGCTGAGGTTTTTTTCTTTCCATTTGGCGTGCATCATTAACCCTTTGATGCACTACATTATTTTTCTATATCTATTTTATAGCTTCTGCATCTAAGGGTTAAATTCCATAACACTCTCACCAGTCCTTACTCCTTATTTACGTCTAATACCCCAGTTTGTCATGGGGGCATGACTGAAATGTTCATGATTTAAAGTGAAACTCTTACATTGAAGCACTTTACGCAAACACCTTAATTATATTACCGTCTATTAAGGCAAATAACTAGATTACAGATGTCCATGTAAATGTAGTCAGTAGTGTCGTTAAAGTTAGTGAAAGGTCCAGAAGAGCATCCAGCTGATTTTGTTTGACGGTTCATCGGTATTACTTTCATTCACTGTCATTCATTTTAAAAAGCAACCGGTCCATTATATTTGTATAGATTTTACTCTAATGCATAAACTCTACAGGTGCCTGACAGTTAGATGTGGAGCTAACATTAATCAGATTCACTCTAATGAACACACAAAACTTGTCATCATTATTTACTCAAGAGCATGCCTCAATGTCTTGTGCCACCCACAGATTAAAAAACCCAGCTCTAGCACTGTTCTTCTGGTTTTTCTGAACCCACCCTCCCTCCTTCCCTCTATTTCCTTACTTCCCATTAACAATCCTATGATCCTCTTTTCCCTCCTAGGTTGAATTTGGGGGTCCAATCACTCTACCAAAACATTACAGAGACGGTACCCCCACTATTAGTCTCAGGGCATCTTTGTAGGATGCTCCATCAACCTACCGACCTATTCACCGTTTATCTTCTTACTTCCTCTTCATCCCACTGTTCCCCTACCATCCCTTTCATCCTTTCAACAAAGTCTAGCTCAAAAGTGTGTCATGGTCCATGCAGGTGAAAAGTGCATGAAAGATGAGCTGAAATATGATGTCTACCTGGTCGTTTTGCTGTGTCCCTGGGGTGTGTTTGTGTCTTTGTTTTCAGTACTGTCCGGAAGGCCATTTGTGGCCAGCGAACTGGACATGGAGTGTTTCTGTCTGTTTAATGGTCTGGGTGTTCCTGGACCGTTCACTTTCCTGAAATATACAGTGCAATATATAGAGCATATATTTTTTAAAATGACTATCTTAGGCTTCATATACTTTCCTTACCTCTCTGTAAATGCAGATGTGTTTCCAGACAACATGACTCCATTCATTCTGTTGACACCACTGCAGCCATTTTTCCTACAAAGAGGGCAAAAAAAAGCTCTTCATTCATTTCAGAGTAAATGATCACATTTTGTTTATTTGTCATACAGAAGATCTTAATCTTTATGGCGAACAGTAATAACTTACTCAGATGTTGGATAAATACAACTGACCACCATCACATTCTGAAGAAAAAGAGAAAAGTCAATATTATTAACCTTCACGATTCTACTGCTATAAGGAAAGGACAAAAAAAATAAAAGCTGGACTGCTTGCATTTGACTAGTAATCAAACCATTCAATGAGCTAAACTTCCTCTTTACTTGGTAATAAAAGCCCATTAAGCAAACATAAGCATACAAAACACTATAAGCTATCTTCTATATTGATAATAGCACACCTGCAAAACAAATTCACATTACCGTAAACCAACAGTGTGTCTTTATGGAAATCAGAGATAGCAAGTAATAATATTCCACATCCGACTTTGGATGCAAACTACAATACAATGCAAATACAAACAGAACATACAGGAAAGGGTCTGTCACCATTATAAGGCCAGGACAAAAAGGTGAAAGTATTTAAAGCAAATGGACCACTGCTTTCATTTATTAGTTCCTTATTTCCTTTATACAGGTCCTTTATTATTTTTAAGAATGCACCACACACTGACCTTCTCTACTCCTCTGAGAAACTTCTCAGTTCCTGTGTAGTTCCTCTTAGGTTCAGTAAGCAGCTCGCACAAGCGCTGGATAGTAAATGGGATCCTGGATAGAGCAGACATTTGAATTAACTGGTGCATCCTCCACAACAAACCACTAAGAATTAGGACCATAACATCATTTTTGTTATAAAACAACAGCCAGGAGAGGGCACACTTGCTCTGGGGTAAACACCCAGGCCCTTTCCTTTTGTCCAAAAGCAAGTTACAGTAAGCATATCATTAGGGCATTAAAAAAAAGATTTCTTACGTTCCTCAATTTTTAATACATTTTCTGTACATTATACAAAACAGGCATTTAAAATGTAATTTACCCTTCGCTAAGCCCCGCCCTCTTTAGTTACGTCTATTACAATATGTATGTGCCCATGTCAGACATTCTCAGGGATTTAATTAGTCATTTTTGGCAAACAGGTGAGATATCTGAGAAAGGCAGACAAAAAAGGACTGCAGTATGCATTTCGGGGGTATATTTCATGACATAATACGCAACCGATTAGTAAATAATTTAATCAAATTTAAAGCTAAAGCCTAGCCGCCTCATGTGCTGAGCATTCTACAGCTTAGTTCATGCACAGCAGGTTAGGTGAAATTTAAAAATAATCTAATAATAACTAATTAAACCGTGATTTAGCTTTTTTGTCAAAAAGCCTGATAGACTAACTGCTGTGCAATGAAATATAGCGCTACTAACCGATGAGGAAACTAGCATGGACAGTGCTTGGACATATAATTCATTCATAGAAAGAACAGGAAATTGATAGATTGTGCCGAATATTAGCATCATTTACCCATAACAATGTACAATATCTATAACTGTCAGTATGTTTGTGTGCTTTTATACCGTTTCTATTCTAATTTGCAGTTAAGTGGAAAAAATAAATAGATTGAAATGCACATCAACGTATAAATGGCAAAAGTGAACAAATAGATTTTTCCCTACCAGCAAATATTAATCTGACACCAAATATAAAAGCAGACACTAACTCGCTATATTGTCATCACCAGTGACTAAATCTCCAAAAGACAGACTAAAACATCAGTGAATTGTAGCCCTGACATGGGCATGAGGGTTATAAATTACTGAAAAACAGCTGTGGGTGAAGTATATTGATCGCAAGAGCTCAGTTTGTCTGTTTTGTTCTGTTGATACGTAATCCAATACTCGTAGCTTGAAACGGAGGAAAAACATGAATGGATTGTGCTGCTTTTATGGATCATCACACAGCTTGATTCATGCTGGCTTATCTCCCTTTGGATTTTAGGCTTTAAAATGGGAAAAAAATTCCCCAACCCCATCCAACAAATGTTTAGGATACCGGGTATCAGATTTGCACAAGCCATATGCACAACGCTTTGGTTTGTTTCCCCCGCTTAAAAGCTTGACAGACCTCCTGCACATAGCTATGGTTGCTAAGCCACGATTGTTGTATGGTGGTTTTCAGGTGTGGCTTAGCAAAGGGTCAATAACGACTCAGATAATACTGTAAATATACAACAGTTTGTGCGTATTACTATAATATTAAAGCTCATTTGCTACTTATTTTGAAATAAAACCCATCTAAAATTAGATATTTCATTTTTTTATATATATATATATATATATATATATATATATATATATATATATATATATATATATATATATATATATATATATATATAATATTGTACACAATAGCTTGAATAAATGACATTAAGACTTCATTGCTCTGAAGTTCATTTCTCAAGCAAACCGATGAGCTGTGGACACTGAATGACTTGCTTGATGTAAATGTAATGATTCATGACATATCGTGTAACGGATGTGGAAAATGACACTCAAAACGCAAGCAGGGAAAATGTTTTTAATAGCACCATGTAATGATTTAATGTAATGACTAACAAACAATGCGTCAACAGTCATCTCAGACATGCACACAGGCTACTGATGCATATGTCCATGAGAACAAACTACTACTACTACAATGGTGTCATTTTCTTCCCAAATTTGCATAGGGCATTGGTTGATGAGTAATGGCCTGTTTCCATTGAATGCTACGGTATGGGTCGTTACACTCTTATGGCCGTTTCCACTGTCAAAAGGTACCTAAAAGCAGGGTGTGAATTATACACTGACAATTAAATGACATCTATTTTATTAATGCAAAATATTTCATTTTTCAGTGATTTGTGATATAGTTTATGTATTCTGACCTACAATATCCTGTGATATTGTCCTCGCCAAACCTCACTGTAATTCCCACCCTGCCTAAAAGTGAACCTTACCGTACCACTTTTTGGGTACTCTTTCAGAAGGGTACCTAGCACAACAAAAGGGTACCAAAAGGCAGAGCAAGACGCGCAGCTGAATGCTATTGGTTTAAGTCATTAGCAGGAGACAAGTCATTAGCAGGAGAATACAAACAAAGGACCACCATTTTTAAAAACACAGCAGAGACATTCGACTGTAATACTATATACATATAATAACAAGCCATGGTCGACCAGAGCTTAAACAAGCCTTGTTGTCGTCTTGATGAACAGCCACAAAGCCAAGAAGAGCAGAACTACCCTGTGCCCCATAGTTGTTTACAAGGTCATCTAAAGCACAAGCGGTTTTGCTTCCTCACTTGAGCTCGCCGTGTGTCTATATTTAGAATAACAAACTTCTTGATCGAATGATAATCACACATGATTATTGAAATGTTTTTGACACCCGATTCTTTCAGGAACAGACAAACGCAAGAGTGATGCATAAAAAAAACAACGAAAGAAGCTCAACAAAACAAAGGAACAAAAATTATTGTTTTAGCAACCTAAAACATAAACAAACTGCCATGTTTAACTATTAGCATCACCTTTTGGACTATTATGAACTCAGAATGATGGAATGACTTTCTAACAAGAGCTTGAACATGAAGTGAAGATTAAGGATACAGATGAGAGGTTTGCACTGATGTTGCATGTTGTTTTTAAACTCAAATAAAGCCTAAATGTATGTGATGTCGTTCTTCTGTAATCGGTAACATATCGGAAACTATAAGTTTCTACATGTGTTCATACATGTTGCATTTATTTATTTATTTTATATAAATTGCAGATGTTTCAGTAAGCCATTTCGCACTATTTTGCATCATTGATCTGCAGTTATAATCAAATCTTGTTCATAGACAAGTTAGTACTGAACATTTATACACAAGTATTTATGTGTATAAAGCACCTGTTTTGTGAGAAGTGCTTCTTATATGATATGTGAATGACCTGTACTGCTTTACTTTGAAATGTCCTCGAGCGAAAATGATGTAGACAAACCTTCTGTCGTACACCAAGCCCAACAAAAGAGGACCATTTTTACCCTTTAGGTGGTTGGATTCCAAACCTGATAAAGGTGACCCGTACCGTACTTTACCACTCAGTGGAAACGGGACATTAGATGTTGTGCCGATCAATTTCAGATAATGAATGATAGACATTAAAATTGCCACAACACAATCCCACAGTTTCGCCAAGAATAACAAACTTACCCATTGTATTCATTGACAATCTTTAGGATTCGCTCCTTCATTTCTTCAAAGGGAATTGACTCCACGTTAGGGTTGGCAGGCCCTCGTTGCTCTGGAGCCGATGCATGGAAATCCTCCATTACTTTTTCCAGTTTAAATACGAAGTAGGTTTTAAATTGAGACCAGGACACCCTGAAGAGATATACAGCATTCACAGCTCAGTTTATTTTTAGATTTGTCAGTCACAAAGCTGTTTATTATATAACTTACTATTATATGGGCTTTAAATGATTTGGTTGCAATTGTTACATAATGTGAGTAGAGTCCAGGGTGATGTGAGTGGCATAAAACCAGCACGACTGTTAATAACACATTTCAGTGTCATTGAGCAAATATATTTGACAGCAGAAGTATTACAAAGAGATAGATATTAATATTTTTTTAATTTTCATTCATGTATTCTAAAGAGTTCATGAAATGAGAGCAGGTCGGCCAAGTCAGATCTAGTCGATAAGTACAAGGTTTAGTTTGTTTTGGAACAAAACCAAAAGGTCATATAACAACCCACCCTCTGGTGTTACCTAAAAAAGCAGTTATGATTTTTAACAAACCACTAGAAGACAAAGGTGAAAAGGGTTTCTGTGTCCCACTTAGATCACTCATAGATATTTGAATGTACTTACAGGGTTTCCCCAGTCTTTGCAATATGGCACAAAAACTGGTCCAAAACTGTAGACGCTTCCTTCTTCACCTTCTTGTCAAAATCTGCAGGAGACAAAAGCAAAAGTTATTTTGGAGTGCATGCAACTCCAAATCCTGCTAATGCATTTCAGTCTATCAATAATATTTTAGTTCTGATTGACTCCATTCTAGTTCAGACATCACAAATATAAGGAGGAAATAGTCGTTTATTGTTCTTTCAATTATTTGTTCGTATTTTCACACAACTACAAAGCGGCTCTCTTTCTAGATAATCTTCATGCATTAAAACCAAACACAATTTTCTATTCTGAGCGTCCAGAAACAACTATAATATTATGCACACCTTTATGAAAATATAGAATCATTTTCCAAGCACAGATCTATTAACAGGCAAGCAGTGCAACTATGATAAACATCTAGGTTATGTAAACATGTCGTTTGTAATCTTAAACTCATTTACAAGTTCCATAACTTTGTTATATCTTTTAGCCGTTACCTTTCAACAATTTGGAACAATATATATATATATATATATATATATATATATATATATATATATATATATATATATATATATATAATCATTTAGTGATCAAAACCACTTCCACTTCCCTAAAAAATAAACAATATACGTATATAAAAAATAAATATAAGAACGGCAAATCACTCATTTACATCAAATAGGCCTTGATCAGACAATTGTGAGCTTTCATTAGAAATATGAGAAAATATCCTATTCCAAACACACTTACATAAAGCTCATACAGGTACAATAAATAGTAGTATTATATTATTTTGTCACCAAAACAATTTGTACTACTCACAAAAATCATTATTAAAACATATAAATAATAATGAGAAATTATTCATTGATATTTTTTTAAATAAACTAGGCTAAGAGCAGAGCTAAAGTGCAACTTAAATGAAAGATTTCTCGTTAAATACAAAAAGAAAATCACGTTAAAGAAAGAACAAACTCACAAAGAAAATGTTAAAATCATTCACAAGTTTATAGTTAACACTGAACACACAGATGTGTAAGGTTAGAATACTTAATTCAACTCTACATCATAGCAGTCCACTACCTAGTAAACTCCAACAATAGCCTTTTTATTAACGTATTAATAATCCAACCCTCCATTTTCTGACAGAAATTTAAAGTCGTCGTAAAAATAGAAGAATGAAACCTGCTGATCTGCTCTTAACACACAACAGACCTCGAAAAACAGGAAAAGCCATTTAGCCACAGGCCATGCTAGCATGAGCTAACTCACATTAACCAGACAATAACCACATATAACTCCATCCTAAACTCGCCCTGACCGCCTCAACACACGCGACCGGGTACCTTTGAGAGCCTCCAGAAGAGTGTCTATCTCCATGTCTGTGTTGTTTTCCCTGTCTCCTGTTGGAAAGCGAGAGCTGATGGCTGCTGTTGAGCTCAGTGAAGAAGAGGAGATGGGAAACATTTCAATATGGCGGCGACTGCGACGTCACTGCCGGCCGCTCTTCAGGAGCGCTGGCTGTTGCGCAATAGCATGGCCGCGTTCCAAAGCCTAGTCAGCCTCCTATTTAGGCATCATTTCTGGGTGGTTGAACACAGTGTTTTTGTTGCTGTGCAGCAATACCTAGTGAACGTCTCGTGTAGGCGGTATTTTAAAGCAGAATAGTCACATTTCGAGCTAAGTGTATGATCATAAGTGCTGTTAATGTTTAGCAGCCTACAAGGATTTGAAACACTTCTATGTGACTTGAATTATTTAACCTATTTATACCTGAACTCTCGTCTGTAAATTTAATTAAACATTAGAATGACTAATCTGGCTCTGAATTGTAACTAAAACAAAACGTAGCCTAGCCAAATCATTCAGCTACAAAGCCTAGGCTACTACAGGGCTGATGTCTAAATAAATTGTCTGAGGGGTATTTATATTGCACTGTACTGATTAATAATAATAGATAAATATAATACAAACTGTGGAATGGTCATTTAAGTGTACACCCATAATGATATTGAAGTAGGCATCCTGCAAGGATTTGAAACAACCTGACTGAAATAATCAGCCCATCCAGCAAGCATTTTATGTTTTTAAAAGAGGTCTAATAGATGTCCAAAAATAGTCATCTCGGCTAAAACAAGGCTAAATTTGGGCTGTCAGTGAAAATAGAATAGACGTTTAAGAATATAGGCCAAAACTAGACCAGTCATCAAATAAACAGAAATGAAAGACTACACATATAGAGTCTGTCTATTTTACGACTAGTCTAGTTTTGGGCTATTCTTACACGTGTATTGGATTTTCAGTGACAGCCCAAGTTTAGTCTTGTTTTAGCCAAGCTGCCTACGTTTAGATGTCTTTTAGACGTCTATTAAACCCAAAAGTGTTTGCAAATAATAACTGAACACTCATCTTTCTGTCTAAACACGTGACTGTTTCTTGCTCTTAATTTTACAAAATGTACTTGTAACCATCCAACTAAAACATCATGCTAATATTAGGTCATCTTTATAGTGTCTTTTAAAAATGTTAGTGTTTCCAGTGCATAGACTATAGCCTATTGTCTGGGGGTTAATACAATATATTGCAAGACAGCATGGAAATAGGCATCTTACCACGATTTAACAACAACAACAACCTGACTGAAATTAATAGACTATTTATAACTGAATACGTCTCTTTTAATAAGCACAGGTAGGACCAAAGTTGCTCCTGAATTTTAAACTACCATACAAAACATACAAAAATACATTATGCAAAAAGAACTGCATAAGACAATGTTAAAATAATGCATATTTATTCTTTACATTTTTGACATACTTCTGTATAAAAGGACAATAATACATATAATATAAGACATTTAGAAAGAAGAACAGAAAAAAAAACACGAGAGAAGAACATTCCTGGTGCTCCATCTTTTCACACAAACATAACATGAGATGAATAATAGTCTCCAGTTAAATAAATCTCATCACTGATCCCAGACCAGTGACAGGAGGTTGGAAACTAGTCACAAATATAATTAAGCACATTGTGCTAATGAACATATAAAAACACACATCAAAACACACCCATTTTCCCACATTCACACAAAAAAAGCACAGTCAACACAGTAAAAGGCTGCAATTACACAACAAAACTTACAGATTACAAATTCTAAAATGAGATGGGTAAAATCATCATGTTGTCCTCTGAGATAATGACATTTTTATTTATACATTTGTTTTTTTCCCAAATTCAGCATTTAATTTAAAAACTGTGCTTAAAATCTTTATTAACCCCATGTGCACTGTTCAAATGTACTACCCTTTTGTTGTCACCTAATTAAAATGCCTTAAAATGCATCAGATAAATACTTTTTTCCCTTTTTTTTTTGCAAATCTGTTAATCAACCTTAGTCCTAAAACCTAAGTCAAAACTACTACATTGTTTAGAAAATTACAGGATTTTAGCTCTTCAATTGCCAAATTCATAAATGGTGTCACTGATTTGATGAAAAAAACACATAAGACATATTTTCAATCTAAAAATTAATTGTGGCCTGGATTTTTTGTTGGACATATGAAATATTAATAACAACATTGGTTTTGATGCATTGATAGATTTGAATGTTTTCTCTCTAATTTACTGTTGATGGCTGTTTTTGCCCCATTGACTTCCATTATAACCACATTTGATTGTGCATAAATACACAGTCTTTGTTTTTGTTTACTCCATGTAGTTTTGAGAGCTGAGATGCATCTTTTGATTTTCTCAGACACATCAAGATAAGTGCGTTAAAAAAAAGTCAGTCTCACACAACCACAGACACACATACACATATTTTAATATGCCTATCTAACGGGTAAATAGTGCCACACTGATGATCAGTTATCAGGTCAGATTTTACCTCTTCCCAACAAAGGAAAACCAGCAACAATCAAAACTGCATGATTATATGGTGTCTTGGTTTTATAAAAAAAAATGTGGTTATAATAAAAGTCAATGGGGAAAAAACAGCCACCAACAGTAAATTAGAGAGAAAAAAAAAATCAATCAAAAACAATGCATTAAAGGCAATAATGATATACATGTCCAAGATTTTGATAAAAGCTAAAAAAATCCAGTCAACAACTACTTTTTACATTTAAAATACATCATTTTGTGTGCTTTTCCACCAAATCAGTGACATCATTTATGAATTTGTCAATTAAATAGTTAAAATCCTGTAATTTTCTAAACAATTTAATAGTTTTGATCATGATTGAGGTTGATTAACAGATTTATGCAAAAAAAAAAGTATTTATCTGATGCATTTTTACAGCAGTTCAAATAAGTAAATGTTTTCATCCCTGAAATAATTTGCCCAGATTGTATTGTTGAGATTTTTTCATTTTCTCAAAATATGAGTCAAAATAAGATTTGTCACCAAAATCATTCTGCTAGCTGAAACACAGAAAAAGTAATGGCCAAATAAAGACACAAAAACACCCCAGAGTGGATGAAAACATCCCCAACAGGACATAAGGGTTAAATGTGTGTATTGTTATCATTTAGATCTTATGTATATAATACTGTCACAATGTACAAACCTCTAACAAATTAATGAAATCATTTATTTCAAATGAACGCATTAACTTAATCCCAATGTGGCAGACTACAGACTTCCAACAAAGCTCAGGGTAAAACAACAAAGTGGGTCTAAACTCGACCGAACTGAATATTTCTAATATACTTGAACACTTAAAGCTTGTGAGCAGCTCTCACAAATGGCTCGGTTGTATATCATCCTCAAAGAAAATCCCATCACATAATAAACATCAAATCCATTATGACCATCAGAATAAGCAACCAAAATACAGGACAAATGACTTAAAGGGTTAGTTCACCCAAACATTAAAATGTACTCCTCTTTTACTCACCCCCAAGCGGTTCCAAACCGTGTCTTTCTTTTGTTGAACATGAAAGAAAGTTTTGAAAAAAGCTTTATATATTCCTCCATATTAGGAAAAACAAAAACTATGGAAGTCAATGGTTACAGGTTTTCTTATGTGATTAAAAACTCAAAAATGTCTGAAAAAATTCTCACAGAAGGCCAAATCTTCTATCATAACATTTTACATATATTAACAGGCAACATCACATACATATATATAACCTTTCAAAATCACACTCCTTTCTACTCTCACTAATAAGTCATCTTCAATGTAAACAGTGTGAACATCCACCATTAGGGCTGTGCTTAAATTGAATGTACATCTTACTAAACTCTGAAGGCTGACAGGCTAATTCTCTTTGGTTGGTTCTGTGTGCTACATTCATTTACGGTGTGTGTGTGTGTGTGGCTTGAAAACAAGGATTTATCTCATGCTATTAAGCAGCAGAATGCACAAATTGGTGCAGCCACTTAAACACAAGAATTAGATCAAATGTACTGACACACACATTACTTCAATTGTCTAATATACCAAACATAATGAACTAGATGCTGCAAAACAGTACAACACAGTTGTAAATAAACAGCTCTGAATCCATATTTTTGGATGTGCTTTTCCAGTGAATCTCCTGTATCACTTTGGGGTGGTTGGTAACCCCCAGCTGGAGACCCATTTGGTTGAATCTCCGTTTAAATGGTTGCAATCATGCCGCATCACTGTATAAATCCAGCAAACCAAGTCTGCTGCTTAAATCTCCCACTCCTCAGGCTCATAACGCTCATACTGGGTCAAATGTAGCTCGCCCATGGCATTGCTCGTTCTTGATGAAAAAAATAACCCCAGATCCAAGCAGCAGGCAGAGACTCTTCATTATAATGCGGAAATGCAGTCGAGGCTCATTACTTGTGTGGCGGTCGGACACGGCGCACCACTTTTTTCTCATATGCCGCCTTCATGCTCTTCTCAATCTGTTTGAGGAACACCTGTGGTATTCTTCCACACAAGGTGTTAACCGTGTCTAGGAACTTAGTCTGAAGAGGGTAAAACAAAGACTGGAACAAGTTCTCCTCAAAGGGATACTGGAAGAGAAGATAAAGACATTATGTTCAAGGCAGTGTTTGGTATATGTGTGCAGACATGATGAACAAGGGCTATGTGTGATATCTGTCTGAATTGCAAACAGCCGAGGGGCCCATGTGACTCAAGCCTTCAAAAGGCTTCCTCTTGAAGAGACATTTTCCCGCTATTAGCCTTCAAGGAGGGATTCAAGGAGACTGCACTCTGAACGCACAATGCAACACTTCTATTTATTCCCATATGATTCAACACCCTTTTGTTAGCACTGGAAATTAGAAGGTATACAGAGCTGGCAAAGACAAATGGGTTATGATTCCTGTTATAAGTCTTATGGGCAATTCAAAATATGCTATATAAAATAATTAGGCTTATGTTTTCTGAAAATTATTTCTAAGACGTGTTATGTGGTTACCAGGATGTTCAGATTGAATTGAATTGCACAAAATTACATTAACCTCAAAGTTGTATTGCGCCAGGTTTTAGCAAGGTTGCTATTTTTCACCTGCAGTCCCTGGACAGGTAAACCTAAACAATTATAGAAAAAAAATAATAATAAAGAAAAAAAACTTATAAAATTGTCAATTTAAAACCTACTGAGGTGACGCAGTGGCACAGTAGGTAGTGCTGTCGCCTCACAGCAAGGTCGCTGGTTCGAGCCTCGGCTCAGTTGGAGTTTGTGTGTGGAGTTTGCATGTTCTCCTTGTGTTTGCATAGGTTTCCTCCGGGTGCTCCGGTTTCCCCCACAGTCCAAAGACGTATGGTGTAGGTAAATTGGGTAGGCTAAATTGTCCGTAGTGTATGAGTGTGTGTCTGAATAAGTATGTGTGGATGTTTCCCAGAGATGGGTTGCGGCTGGAAGGGCATCTGCTGCGTAAAAACGCGCTAGATAAGTTGGCGGTTTATTCTGCTGTGGCGACCCCGGATTAATAAAAGGACTAAGCCGACAAGAAAATGAATGAATGAATGAATGAAACCTACAGACACAAATCATACAGACTAAACAGAGACCAATCAAACAGACGTCGAAACGTTTTGTAGTTTGTGCATGTGATTAATTTTGTTGGAAGACAATTCCATAGTCATGTGGCTTTATAAGAAAGAGGATTGGCTAAATTATGTTTTACATCTAGGGACAATAAACTCCCCTCTCTCTTGCCATGAAGCATGTCGTTCGAGATATTTTCTCTGATGTAAGAGCAAAAAATTCTTAACGAATTAGCAGAAATTGACAGATTATAAATAATTTTACAAACTAAACAATTGTTGTATTAATTATTCATATTATCAAAACTTTATACTATGCTATACCAAAAAAGAAGGCTATGTTTTTTTTAAAGATATTACAGTGATGGTACAGCTGAGGTTTTATATCATGGATTTGAAGTGCTTTCCCCCCTCTAATGACACATACAAAGGGAGAATGTCAATCAGAGTGTTTCTGCAGGCTGTTTTTATGATGTGTGATTATAAAAAAAACAAAATGAATACATTTTTACTATTAGAAGCTAGTTGTATTCACTGACTGTTATTAAACCCCATTATTAAAGAGATTTTTTGCATTAAAGGTGCCCTTTTAAATATAAAGAAAACTATATTAATTACTTTAAGCATCATATTATAGAGATAATGACGTGTTTGCACAAGCTCTGCAATTCGCCATTTGTCATGTTGACAGATGAGGTCATTACAATTACACTGTTATTATGGTATAACACTATGCTAATTGTAGTTTCTAAAAAAACAAAACAATAACAAAGGTAATAAGCAAAACACAAATTTGTATAATACGAATGCGGGTAAGGAAAAAATAAACAAATTATAAATAATACAAAAATAAATTATAATAATTGTATATATTTAAAAAAAATGGCTGCAACTTTGAGAATTTACAAAATTTATTAAATTAAAAATCCATTTTTTAAACGTAAATGTGATGTTAAGAACAGATGAAAATGCACTAACAAACGGAGATCCGTTTGTCTTTGCCAGCTCAGTCTACCTTATAATTTTCAGTGCTAACAAAGCAAATGCTGAGGGTGTTAAATCATTTGAGAATAAATAGAAGTGCTGCATTGTGCATTCAGAGTGCAGTCTCCTTGAATTAACATTATTTAATGCATTGTGAGTTAAGAACCAAAAACGAATGACTGTATTTGTATTAAATAACGTTAACAAAGATTCATAAATACTGTAATAAGTGCACTGTTTCTTATGAGAGTTACACTAGCCACTTTATTAGGTACACCTTACAAGTACCAGGTTAGAGCCCATGTTGCCTTCAAAACTGCCTTAATACTTTGTGGCATAGATTCAACAAGGTATTGGAAATATTCCTCAGAGATTTTGGTCCATATTGACATGATAGCATCACACAGTTGCGGCAGATTTGTTGGCAGCACATCCATGATGTGAATCCCTCTTTTCACCACATCCCAATGATGCTCTATTGGATTGAGCTCTGGTGACTGTGGAGGCCATTTGAGTACATTGAACTCACTGTCATGTTCAAGAAACCAGGCTGAGATTATTTGTGCTTTATGACATGCGTTATCCTGCTGGAAGTAGCCATCGGAAGATGGGTACACCGTGATCATACAGGGAGGGACATGGTCAGCAACAATACTCAGGTAAGCTGTAGCACTGGTTTGATGTGTTTGATGCATTCAGAGATGCTCTTCTGCAGACCTCGGTTGTAACGAGTGGTTATTTGAGTTACTGTTACCTTTCTATCAGCTGGAACCAGTTTGGCTATTCTCTTCTGGCATCAACAAGGCATTTGCGCACACAGAACTGCCGCTCACTGGATATTTTCTATTTTTCAGAGCACTTTTTGTAAACCCTAAAGATGGTTGTGCGTGAAAGTCTCAGTGGATCAGCAGTTTCTGAAATAGTCAGACCAGCCATTCTGGCACCAACAACCATGTAATGTTCAAGGTCACTTAAATCACCTTTTGTCCCCATTGTGATGCTCGGTTTGAATTGCGGCAGATCGTCTTGACCTTGTGTACATGCCTGTTGCATTGAGTTGCTGCCATGTGATTGGCTGATCAGAAAATTGCACTAACAAGCATTAGGTCAGGTGTACCTAATGAAGTGGCTGGTGAATGTATCTACACTGTTACCATAATCCCTGATATTTAAATGACACATAGAAGTACAGAACAGCCCTGGCAGCATTATCAGTCACATACTTTTGATATTCCCGACAAAAACATTCCATTTCACATAAAAAATGTGTTTGTTTATTTGTTTGTTTGTTTTTTTTTTGTTACAAGCGGTTTACACACCAGCAATAAAAATGTGATCAATTCTTACACATAGCTCTATTTATTAAAGGGATAGTTCGCCCTTGTTTTAAACCTTAATGAGTTTACTTTTTTTTCAGTTGAACACACACAAGATAATATTTTGAAGAATGCTGAAAACCTGTAACCACTAACTTCCATCGAATTTTATTATTATGGAAGTCAAAGGTTACAGGTTTTCAGCATTCTTCAAAATATCCTTTAAGTGTTGAACGAATAAAGAAATGCATGAAGGCTTGAAACCCTTTGAGGACACTTAAATAGTGAGTAACTTGTCATTTTTTGGGTGAACTACCCCTTTAAATAATTGCAAAGTGACAGAGAAAGTTAGATTTATTACGTTATTTAAATTCAATTATATACATGCATATATACTTTTTAGGCATTTTTACTGCCTTTTTATTAGTTCTAAAATCTAATAATCTCCTTTCAGCTCACCTCATGTATGGCATCATACACCACCCTGAAGGCAGGCTGCTTGTCATCATGATAAACCCCTCGGTTGCCATGTAAAATAGAAACCCCCTCCTCCTCCGCAGCCTTACAGTTGCTTCCATACATGCAGTGATCGGGTCTATAGTTCCACTGGCAAGGGAATATGTACAGACATTCTGCAGACACAAACAAGAATATTCAACGTCATTTCCAAACAGCAAACAACATATACTCATGAAACACTGGAGTATTTGGAGCTGTGCCAATACAGTTGTCAAACAAGCACATATTCTTGCGAAGTGTCTCGCCAATTTAGAGACATTAATAACTGCACCTGTCAGTATCTGTCACACCTGTTCCAGTCAAGAGAACTGTTTGCTTACACAAAAAAAACGCTCTTATCTCTACACAGCCCAGATAAAACGGCAACTTTCAGAAGAGCGAGCAAGGAGAGAGTTGAAACACTGCTGTGTCATACCACGTCTTTTTGATTTTCTGGGAAGATATAGCGCTTGGCTTCTATCTCTGTGCTAGAAATAACAATCCAGGGCTTGGAAAGTTTAGTTGAGATGTACTGCAAAGCTGCGGGGCTTCGTGTGGAAAATAACAGCTTTTCAAATTGGATTTAAGCCTCCGGCAAAAACCTCAATTAAACTAGCGTTGTAACACTAGAGCACAAATCAACAAAAACAAAAGAAAATATGCAGGTTTATATGCAAGTTTCAGTCAGGCACAACGATGTGGACACTTACTAATCTTATCATCCACTGTTTTCTATTGTTAAAAGCATTCTAATACTGAAGTACTTTGATACTTACCATAGTACTATGTTGGCCTGCATGATATTGAAACAATCTAACATTTCAATATTTTTTTATTCTGTATTATATATTGCGATATGAATACAATTTCGCAATTACGGTCTTCATCATATAATATATTTAATCAAATGAATCTTTATTAAACTTCTTTATGCTCTATTAAAATGCTTTAAGCTCTCTTACAATGCTCATACAGTCACAGGCATACAGTCACTTTGTTAAACTTTCAAACTGTTAAAGTTAAATTCTGCAGTGTCCCCACAAATCTTGTGTATTTTGACCTGTGGTTTCTGGTCAAATATAATCCCAACTCAACATTGCATATCTTGTGATGTGACTATTGCGAACACACACACTGCGATATCGATGCTCAAACAATATCATATGCAGCCCTGGTTCCACGTTACTCTGTGGAAAGCCCTGCTTTTACCATGGCAAATGTCCAAAAACATTATATTAAAATAGTGCATGCCCAAAATAATACACTCCAAAATCAAGGTATTGTGAAACAATTGTATTTATAAAATACTAAAATACTTTGTAGAATGGTGTTACCATGGTATATGTCCAAAAATGCATTTTATTAATAGAGTATTAATAACCAAAAACATGCTAAAATCAAAAGTGTTTTGATAAATACCATAATATTTACAAAATACTCCAAGTTACTTCAAAACAAATGCCATGGTATTACCAAAAGACATGTCTAAAAACAAGATATTAGCAAAATGCACATATAAAAACCACACAAACACATAAAAACAATGCATTTTGTACCCCAGGGTACTTCAAAAATAACATTATAACACCATAGTTGTTTCAGCCAATGTTGTCGAATCATAATTAAGCACACACACGCACGTACACGCACGTGCACGCGCGCACACACACACGCACACGCACACACACACACACACACACACGCACACGCACACACACACACACACACACACACACACACACACACACACACACACACCTGGATTGTAGTGAAAGATGATGTTGAGGAGGTCTTGGTCTCCCCATGTGATGTGGTTCTTGTATTTCTGATAGAGAGGGTGAAGCAGATTTTCCCATGACAGACCGCTGGCGATCATACTGTTCTGTAAAATCAATAGTGGCAGGTTATTTTCCTCAACAGTGAGTCTGGCAGCCACTTCTCAGACAGCTGTTGATATGGAAATTGAGGTTGTTTCAGAAGAAGAAATTTTCTTTTTGTCCCCCCAGACAGCCTTGAAAATGTGCTTGGGTTGGAAATTACAGTTCTAGCCGAGTTACAGAAATATGCTAATCTAGACTGCTCTCACCCACTATCTCTCTCTCTTTCTCTCTCTCTCTCTCTCTACTCGACGGATGGCAATCAGTAGACTTCCATCACTGCCTACTATAAACAGCCCGAGGTTAAAAGGCTTTAAATGTGCAAAGAAACCTCAGAAGACATGCGAAGAGCAAAGCCTAAGCCCATGATTTAAGAGGAATAAACCACACAAGAAAAACACAGACAATATTTAGTAATAAAGCACAGAAAAACGATGCAGCAAAAATGTATTGCATTTAATATATCTGCAAGTATGTAGAAATAAAAAAAAATCTGCCAAGTCACAGCAGATTACCAATTTGTGTCAGATTTTTGAAATGTCTTAGTAATAAAACCAAGGCAACTAATATGTGTTGTTTTAAATGCCAGAGGTCAAAGACATCAAACAATTATAAGGTATATTCATTCATTTTCTTTTTAGCTTAAACCCTTTATTAATCAGGGGTTGCCACAGCAGAATGACCCGCCAACTTATCCAGCATATTTTGCAGCTGCAACCGATAAGGTATATTATAAAATATAATTATCGTATTTTCCACACCATAAGGCGCACCAGATTTTTAGACGCAGTCTATTTTACAGGGTCTATTTCTGTACATAACCCATACATAGGGCACACCGTATTATAAGGCACATACTAAAACGTCTACAATAAAGGTAATGGAAGCAAAACAGTGAGTTTGCCTGAACTTAGTCTACTTTTTAACAATAAACTCACATAATTTTTTAATCAATCTTATCCCCCAAATCTAACAAAGTCTCATCTTCTGTGTCTGAATTGTACAGTTGCACAAGTTCACCATTAAATATGCCGGGTTGGCTGTTTAGCAATTATACCGGCTTTCGCGAATGCTCGGACAACAGTTAAAGCAGATACCTTAGCCCAGGCAGCTACGGGGCTGCATATCAGTCTTAGTAAAGGTGTGTTCGCCGTCTGTCAACTATCGCTCCTACCCCACCCGAGTCGCAACTTTATTATGAACGCACTGTTTACACCAATGTCCAGTGGTTGGAGTTCTTTTGTTAATCGCTGCCAGCGTACATAGTGTACTTATTACATTTCTAGGAAATGCTCCAACAGTCAATCAAGTAGAGCACTTACCAAAGTCGCACAACAACATTTTTGCCGATTTCGGACCGCTGTGCACTCATAAGGCACACTGGATTATGAGGCGAATGGCTAATTTTTGACCAAATATAAGCCGTTTAGGTGCGTCTTATAGTGTGGAAAATACTGCATATTCTCTTGTTATTATAGTTATTTAAACTAAAACTTAAAAAATTATTTTTTGCTACTTGAAATAAAATACATTTAAACATATATATATATATATATATATATATATATATATATATATATATATATATATATATATATATATATATATATATTAATTAATTAATAAAAAAACATTATAAAAACAATATAGATTTAAACCAAGATTATACAAATACAAAATAACAAAAACTTTAAACTGAAAAAAAGTAAAAACTTTAAAAAAAAAAAAAAACTTAAAAAATAAACAAACGCTAATAAATTATACTGAAATAATTCTGATAAAAAAGCTAAAGAATACACTCAGCAGTGTTATTAATTATTATTGTATTTAACGATTAATTTCACTTGAGATTTTACATAATATATTACAATCTAATGTCCACCAAAAACTGATATAGTAATATATCAATAGATATATATCATGCAACTCTAATATTAAAAGTTTAAAATACAGACTATGATTTTAGATCAATTGAACGAAATTAGAGCTTTATGATAAGATGTTTGTTGTACACATCCATTTAATATATACAGTGCTCAGCATAATTGAGGAGTAAAAAAAAGGAGTATTTTTTATCTATTTCTCTGTGAATATATGCAATGCATTTTAGTGCATTTAAACAAGACAGAATTATTAAACAATATAAAATAATATTTAAGTCACCAAACATATTTAGAAATAGAAAGATAAAACGTAATAGAAAGATAAAAGTAAATTCATGGAAAATATTGCGAAAAAACTACAAAATTTCAACTCAATTTTTCTTTTTTTTCTTTTTTTTTCTTTTTTTTATTTGTTTTTAATGTTTTTTTTATAACATATAAATTTGTGTGTGCTAGTTTTTGGACCGTTATCGTAAGTTATATAGTTAGATAAGCTCCAGATTTGGTTTCAGTACAGACTAATCTAATGTATACGCACAAATATAATACTGTAAAGCTTCCTATTAAAATTTGAATTTAAAAGACAGAATTGTGAGTGGTGTACTTATATATGCTGAGCAGTGTCTATCTATCAGCTATATACATCTAATTCTCTTGTTCCTTACCCTGAACAAAGTGTTACGAATCCTTGTGAGGTTCATTAGCATGACCCCTGAATTGACCCCTGTGACTCCATAATAGGGGTGTCTGGCGAAGCGACTATACCAGCCGATCTTGGGGATCTCGTGCTCTGGGGCCATAGCAGCTAACTGAGTGCTGTTGAACGCCTTCAGAAACTTCCAGATGTCATCCATAGGCCGGAGAAACAGCACATCTGTGTCCACGTATAACAGAGAGTCCACATCCTTCAAGATAACCTGAAATTAGAGGAAATGCCTGGTTACGGTCAGAGTGGCGGTGAGATGGAAAGCACAAACAACTGAAAAAATGAACATGAACCGGCAGGACCTACAGGAAGAAATAGCCTCTGGGCGGCACACGGCTTGAAGAGTTTCTTCCATTCGTCTGCATTCCCCACAGAGAAGGTGATTGGATATATGCTGTAGTGAAACCTGGAGGACAGCGTCTGAGGCCACTGACTGAACTGTGAGGGGAAATTGGAAGAATCTGTCAACGTCAGGACTGTCAGACTCGGGTAAACCGCACATCTATTGCTTACAGGTGTCAGCCAAGAGAAGTGTACAAGGAAACCTATAGCAATCCTTCAAATGAGCAACATTTTAGGGTATTGGCAAGAACTGTGATTTATTGAATGTCATGAAGATGTCCATCCATAATGCTACACTCCTTGAAAATGCAAGCCTCAGTCTAAATTTTTTATGAAACTTAAAATACATTGCTCTGGGTACATTTTAGTGTACATTTCAGATGACAAATCCACTGTAGACGCCGTCTACACTTTTGTGAATCTAAAATACGTTAATTTGAGTTTGTTTTGTTACATTTACATTTCAAATTTAGTCATTTAGCAGATGCTTTTTTCCAGAGCGACTTACAATTGAGGAGGTATTCAGCGATTCAACAAGAAGTGGCAACACATACAAGAAGTGACAATATACCTTTTTTGTTCTCAGAGAATTTAGCACTACAATAGGAGATTTTTTTCGTTTTTTGGAGGTTTTTTTTGAAAGAGTGAGAGAAAGTGCTTCTATAGGTGGTTTTGATATTATTCAATGGGGTATTATTCAAGCCATTATTGTTGTACATTAGAGATACACATTGTTCTTGTACATGTCAATGTGAAGACGGCGCTCGTCGTAGAGATCACCTAGCGAATCTCTGACCTAAACCCTTCAATAAACCCATTCAACAGTATTTTCGAAAGCAAACGTCAGAGAAAAGTGGACCGCGATCCTATAGTTTTACCTTGATTTTACATTTTCATTAGTTACTTTTCCATCCACCTATTTTTATGTGCATTTTGGATATGTGCATAAAAAAAGGTTGATGCACATAAATTCGGAAAATGCGCATAAAAACGTATACGCATAGCCGAGTGGAAAAACTATTTAATATATAAACTATAATGGAATCACTTTTACCGAACACATTCCAGTATGCGCATTAAAACAAGTCTTTTTTGATTTTGTTTTAAAGAGATCATGTGATAATAAAAATGTGTTTGAATGGACGGACCATCAGGCTGAGCACATTGTAAAACATCTGAAATGTTGTTTTGGTCATTCTAAAATGCCTTAACCCTTTCAGTATTAGTGTTATTATATTATTAATGACCATCGAAATCAAGAGCGTCTTGTGTTCTGCGTCTCTCGTCTTCAAACGCCACTGCGCGTTCACTGCATATAAGGATTGCCTTCGGAGGTGCATGTATTATATAGGTAAAAGATTCATGCAGCCTCTCCTTCCACAGCAAATTCCGTTTTTACTGTTAATATTTGGCACCAGTTAATCAGAAAGTGACTAAGTGATTTTGCTCGCTTTGACTTGTTGGATGGAAACGCTGCTTTATTTGCACATCTTTTATGTGATAATCCAGTTTTGCGCATAAAGTGAACCCAAGCTCTTTCTCTGCTGTGGGATGAATAAGGGTATATCTAACATCACTCTGAATAACAAATTTGCATGAACAATTTTCATCCGTTTTGACATTTGAAAAAAAAAAAAAGTAATAATTACACAATGGGCTATATGCACAGCTAGTGCTTTCAGCAAGCGGTAAACTTCCTGTGAAAGATTAATGTGACTATTTTCCGTTTCACAAGGTTCATTTTACAGCATCAATGTTGTAATGTAATTGTAAAATAATACAATCATTTAGATAGACTTAAGCATTCATTTAGTTGTTTAAGCGTAAAACAAGATGATAGACCGTGTAAACGCTAGTGCATAAACTCTATTGGAAATACTGAGGTAAAATACATTTCGATAGTTTAAAGACATGGCACGGAAAAACTGAATTTAATGCAGTGCTTCTTGTCTGGTCTGAAACCAACTTTAGGTTAGGATTAGGAAGGAAGCGCTTTGGTTGGCTGACTGAAAATTTAAATTCTGTGCATATACCCCATTCTCGCCCTTAATAAACCATTAACTATGACTTTTGCTTCAATAAAGGCCTAATTTGCTGCTTAATAATAGGTAGCAGCTACATTTAGACATTAGGATTAGGCAATAAACAGCCAATGTCTTAATTATAGTCAGTTATTAAGCCACCAGTAAATAGTGAAAACTGTTACATAAACTGAAGTGTTACTATTTAATTTATTGTGGATAACAAAATGGGATGTCTCATCTTTGACTCATATAAACAATAGCAAATGCGTGAATTATCACATCAATACATATTTGTCAAAATAATAGCAAAACTGTTATGAGAATAGTGTAGTTTTATCATTATTAGCTGTAATCCAAGAGATAATAACTTTTGTGTAAGTTCAGAGTTTGTTTAAGTCCGTGTCAACAGCCAAATTTATGAACAACATTTTTGTTCTTAACCCAATTATAATTATATGTTTGGTTCCATTTCATAATTTCAAGCTGTCTTTAACAACATCAGGACTAATCTGCAACCCACTTTTTGCTTATAACCCAGCAGTTAAGGTTTATAACACCTGCTGATGGCCAAACAACTACTGCTGCAGGAAACTATTCAGGACATTTTTTGAATAACAAATGACATTGCATTCCTTCTCTGTTGCTCTTCAAAGCTTTCAGTTCCTTTATCTGCAGGAATACAATGCAGAATGAGATCAAGATCAGGGCCAGAGGGCACTTCTCAGAAAGCACTGGCCAAGTGTAAAAAAACAATATGCTGCTATTTTCAATAACAGTCCCTCTATGGAAAGAAACACTTGTCTTTCTCTCGACTGTAGAAAAGAAGCACAGTACCAGCAATCAAATAATGTGTTTAGACAGTTTTAAAGAGATCGATAGATGCATGAGGTTTCTCACGTTACTCTTCTCACCAGATTGGCTATCATGGTTAGCTCAACATTGTCTGAGGGTTACCACAAAGCCACTAGTGTAATACAATTGACAGTCAGGGTTCTGTCAACAGCCTAATTAAACATACAGAGAAATCCTGTGGCAAATATATTGTATAGCTAATTATTGGGGTATAAAAAACATTCCTTATGAATATTGATTATAATAATTTTGTTAAAATCACATGAGCAAGACCGATTCAGCTCCTATCGAAGTTTTGCAAAAGGTCCATATGTCCAAATATAACAAAAAAAAACTGATTTTTAATTTATTTTATTTAAATAATAAACAACTAACCAAACAGAAATGTTCAGCATTTACTGAAACTACTTAATAAATAATAAAACAGCCTATCAGCAATTAAACTGAATTACTATCAGAGCAATGAAATAACCCCCCAATAGTTATTCTGGCATAGCACGAGTAGACAAAGTATCTGCGAGAAAAAGAATCAGAATTGAGCATTCATCCACAAAATTGTGCCCAAAATGTGTGCCAGATTTTTTTTTCTGTCCAAGAATGCTGCATAGTTAGAGCTAGTTAGACATAGCTTGTCTGTAATGCAGTGCTTCAGCGCAATGCATTGTCGCTGAAATAATGAGCATTACTGAGATTTTAAGGCAATTTTGTGATATAACAATGTAGTAGAAATCGTCATATTGCAAGTAGGTTTTTTTAATTACTCTGTATTAACATGATTGAGCTAATACTAAGTAGGGCTGCACAATATATCGTTTATGAATCAATATTGCAATGTGACTATTGCAGATGTGCACATCACAGAATCTTCAAGCCTGATTTATACTTCTGCGTCAAGTGACCGGCGTAACCCACGGCGCAAGCAACGCGCGTGGCTGTGCATTTATACTTCTGCGCGCTGTCTCTGTTGGTCTGCATTAACACTTCCGAAACGCTAGTAGGCAGTGAGGTGAAAATGTTCCTCTGTGTCGAGTTTCTTCTCTGCTTTTTTGCTTTTCCTAAACTCTTCCGGGATGCACAAGTGGCTCAAACTTGCTCATTTTGAGGCATGAACCGGTGGACGTGCAAAAACTTTAACTATGAGGTGAACACAATACAAAACTTTCCATCCGGAGCTCCTTCACGGGATTCCACACTTGTAAACAATCGCTCGCGCCATTCGCGTGGCTCTCTGTCCCGCCCAGACTCGTCAGCGCTACCAAGCCGACCAATCACAGAGCTTATGCTACGCGTCGTTGCGACGTGTAGTTACATTTTATGAGAGGTGCACGTCAGTGACGGCGATGGCCACGGCGAAGGGCTATGCGTCAGCGCTGTAGCATACGCCAGCGTTTGACGCAGAAGTATAAATCAGCCTTCAGTGTCAAGTATGGGTTATTGTTGACCAGGAGCTAGTAGATTAATGGCAAATTTGGGGATTTAAAGTTTATCATTTGCATTAGTTTTTATTCTGTTAAAGATATCAAGTGAGTTTAAAGCACTTTGGCACAAGAAACCATATCATTTGTTAACAATACCATTTGTAAAAATCACATGTGTCAAACTGCCAGTAAGATTTGAAAATGTAGCAGATAAAGCAATTTCTTCTCTCGTTTTCAAATCTTACTGGCAGTTGGACATTCATCAAACATTTGCCACTGCTTAATTCGGTCTAGGTATTAAAATCAAAGTTTAGAAAAACTCAAGTGCCACAACATGGATAAAAGAATCTTAGGAAATGCTCTTACCCCTCTTTCAAATTGTTCAGCCAAGTCTTCCTCTGCAAAGATGTGAAATTTGATCTTCTTCATGCTGAACAGCAGCGCTGACTTCACCATGTTGAGCGTTTCATCTAGACGGTTCCCACAAGCCACCACTGCCAGGTGCATGACATCCTCTGCCAGTGTGACCTTTGACCTGGGGCGCCCCACCTCACTTTTAAGCCTAGAGGTAAAAAAAAAAAAAAAAAGCTTAAATCAATCAAAACTCATCCAAACCGTGACGTAAACAACAAAAACATCTGGTACTAATCAGCTGGCTCAAACCCTGAGACGACACGCTCATAAAACACTCCGTATGCTGAACATGGCTCTTCAGGCACATGGAAAACCTCTTTAAATGACTCAAGAGTAAACAATTCAGAGTCAGATTTTGGCAAGTAACATGACCAGAGCATATAAGGGCAAGCTTCATTATACAGAACATGTATGTGTATATAGATATATGTGTGTGCGCGTGTACGTGGAAATCAAGACCAGAGATGAAACTGCATATATAATTTATTTGTGACTATGCCATGCAAGTATTTTATAATATTTTCAAAGCAATTCCACAAAAATATTTTATGTTATGTAAAACACATAACTGCAAGTTACATCAGTCAGAAAAGCAGTAGAGATGATGTAGAGGTCTTGATCATCTCTTTCACGGTTCACTGACTTATGGAGAGTTCACACTGCACTCTTTTAGACCAGATTTCGCTCGCTGACAGGTTTTGGGAAATCACATACAATAGCATGAAATCGTAGACAAATCTTACAGCGTGAATCAACAAAAACGTGATCAGAAAGAATAGCAAATGCCTGTATACTTTTTGGCATGCTAATATCTGGACTTGACTGGTTTAAAATCATGCCATCTGAATGAGTACTAAAAAACAACATACATGATGACCAACAGCCAATGAGTAAGCAGGATGCCACAATATCAGACTCAATAAGCTTTGCAATAACATTAAACAGAAACAAAGAAACATTTTGCATTGTTGCAAAATTATTTAATGACCACCTTTTTTCCCCTCTATTTGCACAATGCACACTCCTTGTTCCCTGCATCCCCCAAACATGTCCTTCTTCATAATCCTCTATTCACACAGACCATTTGAATGGTACATTATCAAAACCATTTTTGCAGGGTACGCACGTGACCATGAGTCATCTTTAGGGCTGTAACGATACACGATATAAAATCGAAATCGCGACACTCAGATCTACGATCCTGTGTCGCGGTGTAATAAGGAAGAATCGCGACACACCCACCCCGTGATACCTTTCCAATAACGTCACGCGTGCCTGCAAAAGTTGAGCTAATTAACACTTTTTTTCGTTCGACATTACAAGCACTGCTCCGTTTAAGCCCACGCAATATTTAGCCGGGAGAGCTCGCACGGAGCTCTTAGTAAGGGGCCGTCTGAATGTGTCAAGAATATCAAAAACAAAACCAACTTAACCCCGCTTGACAACCGACAACGCCAGAAACATTGCCAATGCTGTCAAAGCGGCCGGATTTTTAGCTCATATACGATGATTTGCTCACACTGTTAATGTGGCTGCGCAGAGAGGGATGGGCATTCATCAGATGTCAGGTAACAGCGCAAACTTTTCTGTAACCGTGCTGTGCGATTTCTGTTTGAACCTTTGGGAGTGCTGACTGACAGGTGCGTGAGGTCAGAAAACACGACGAAGCTTTCAGTTAAAATAAACACAGTTTCTATAGTTATAGCCTACTTTATTTAGAGATAAAGGTATATGGCTCTGGCTCTAATCACTCTATCTTGCTGGAGTTTATAGCCGTTTCGCTTTACTTCAGGACGCATTAACACCGCTCTGAAGGTCTAATCGTTGTTTTAAGTTATCCAGAGCTGTATGAATATACAAATCTTGAATATCACAATAGTATTAAATATTAAAATTGTAACAACACAGACAGCAACACTTTTGCACAATCGATACCCAGCTGATTCAGTCGTTTATAAGAGGATCGCGCCTCCTCTTTTTTCCTTGTCAACATAAAGGCAGTAAGGTGCGCCTCGTTTTTGGCCCCTTGTTTAACTGCAAGGCATACTTAATTTGCGGGACGATAACGTATAACCCGTGCCTACTGACACATTTGCCAAAGAAGCAAAATGGAAGAAGAATATTGCTGTTTGATACAGACCTGTTGATGCAGAACCAGCGCTTATGTTGACCTGGATCTGCGTAATAAACGCAACAAATAGGCTTTACTTATTATTTTACAGCTTAAAGCATGTACGCAGATTAATGCAATATCATATTTAAACAAACTGTTTACAAAAAGTCTACATATGCGCGCGTGTTGTTGTCTTTTCATCACGCAGCGCGCGCACTTGAACCGCGAGGGAGAGAGAGGAAACCATAGGCTATATCAGGACATAATCTTTAAAATAAGGATTTCTATTAAAATGTAAAAGGTTTTGTGATTATAATAATAACAGCGGGGCATTAAATAAATGCATATTTTCAGTGGAGCAAGCAATTTGAGGAAGTCTGCAATTTTTATTTGATGGAAGAAATAAACATATGATTGGAAAAAAAGCCTATGCCGGTTATTAAAAAGAATCAGTCAGTATTTTCGTTTTGTAATATAAATTAATTATTTAAGTGAAAATAATTTAGGGCAGTCCTATTTATTTTATTCATTTTATATAGATTATTCTGCTCTTCTGTGCTAAACACTGCAGGTGCGTGAAGATGCTCTGTTGTTCTGTTCCGCTATTAATATATAAAAATAAATCAGTATTTTAAAATGCAATATTTAATGTGTCATACACAAAATAGACACGTCAATTTGTTTAATATAAAATTAATAGTAATCTGACCAGTTCACTGTTAATAACCGATTAGCGGCGGTTGTCGGTTAGCAAAATTAATGAAATGAGCATCCCTAGCTATTTAATTTACTTTTTCTATGCAAGAGAACTTGATTGAAAAATAATTTTCAACATGCTTGAACCATCTACACAATGGAAATTAGTTTGGTTTTTCAACAGTATTTTGTTACAAAAGAAAACAGAAGTGATATAGCTTTGGCTATTTATTTATTTTATATATGGCTATTTATATTGTTAATAATTTGCATAGTTAATATTGTTCTTTGATGTTTAGTTTATAAAGATTTTTCAAATGTTATTTTATTAAAATAGTTTTAAAAATCTTTTTTTTTTCCCACCCCACACGAAAAAAATAAAATAAAAAATCGTGATACGAATCGAATCGTGGGTCAAAAATCATGATACGAACCGAATCGTGGGTTTGGTGTATCGTTACAGCCCTAGTCATCTTATGACCTATCAGTGCATTTGTGAGCAAGACAGATTTGTCTGTAATTGTTTTGTAGTCATGCTGTGTTTTTCCACCAGATCTATCATGCAGTGTAAACACAACAGCAACTACATAGTCATGGAGTGTGAAAACAACAACAATTTGACGATTATCAAAAACATGCAATGTTAACTTAGCCTTAGGCATAAAGTCAACTTTGGTAACTTTTCAGTCAGGTTTAGTTCTGGTCTCTGGGCTGGCCCTTTTAATGTTTTCAGCAGAGCATTCATTCAGACCCAATCCCAATTCTACCCCTTAGCCCTTCTCCTTACCCCTACCCCTCGTTTTTGTGCGTTCCTGTGAAGGGGTAGGGGTGTACCAATTCTCTTTAGCTTGAAGGTGTAGGGCAAGGAGGAAGGGGTGAATAGCTCATCGAACGAATATTTTTCAGGACCACACTCGAAACCAAGGGTTAAGAAAATTTCCCAGAGTACACCAGCCACAATGGCAGAATAACAGCACCCAGAAGTAAAAAGATCCATAAATTAGTATTTTCTTTTTTCATTACTATAAATTGTTCAAAAAAAAAAACAAGCATATGTTCGTGCACCGCGTTCGTGTTTTACTGTCATGCTTTAAAAAAAAAAAAAAAAACTAAAATAAAAACCACTAAATTTCGCAATCTATAATCCATAATCATAACTCCTGTACAGCAGTCCCACAACATTCTGTTACTCGATGACAATCAAATCCCCTGTCAGAAAAGTGTAGAGTCTGGGAATAAGCTTTTTACAGTGTCTGCTATAATATTAATATTGTTTTCGTGTGTTTACATAGATGAATATGGCCACTGTGTAAATACACAGAAAAGTTACGGTCTTATTGCCACATTATATCAGTATGATAACATAATATATGCCTTCAGTGATTTCTTAAAGATAAATGCCAAAAAATAAGACAACTGGAATAACTACAGCAGTCGCCATCGTCTGATCTCATATGAAGCAAGAGATCGCGATGACATATGATGACATGTGTAGGTGCTGTTGTGCTGTCCCAATTCTTAGGAGTGAATTTTAAAGCCCTTGCCCTTCACCCTCGGTTTTAAGGGCCATAGGGAAGAGCTAGGGGTACAAAAATAGAATTGGGTTTGGGCCTTACATTCTCTCTGCCATGTAGCTTTATAAGAAGCATACCTGCTGCTGAATTCATAAGCAATTTTGGATTCAGTGTTGAAGGTATTAGCCATTTATGCATCTCTGTATTATCCCGTCATGTTATTAATTTGTCCTTTGTTGATGAAAACACCCATACACACTTATTTACACACACTCCTACGGTACAGAAGATTTAGTTTATCCAACTCATCTAAAGTGCATGTCATTGGATTGCGGAGGAGCCGGAGCAACCGGAGGAACCCTAGCAAATGCAGGGAGAACATGCAAACTCCACACATAAATGCCAAGTGGCACAGCCAGGACTTGAATCAGCGACCTTCTTGCTGTGATGCGACAGTGCTAACCACTGAGCCACCGTGCCACCTTATGTTATATTCACAGTGTATAATAAGTATTCACAGTGTGTAATAAGAATTTATATTAAAAATAATACAAGAAAGACAGAACGGTTGCACGTTTACTCGTCATGATCTACGTGACCCGGAGTTTCACTTGAATACACATTTCCTTGTCTTGAGTCTCAAACATAATAGTTATTGGTGCAGTGTTTGCTTTTGTGATTCATGTTGAGTCTCTATCACTCTGGGGAAGTAAGCTCTCTAACCCTCTCAGCGCTACCCAAGAGACGACCTTTGAGGGGGGAAAAAGTCCTTCATTTATCCAAGGCTTTGGTGGAGGAAACAAATTCATACCGCAAGAAAGGCAC